ACTCTCCAAGTACCACCATCTTGCATCTTTTCATCATATATTCCCCACATGCACCGCCATCCAGCGGACATTCCAAGGACTAAACGAGAGGTGGCACACGCACACTTTCTTACTTCTTGCGCTTCGTGTCTACTTCCCACCTTTAACCACCTCGAGCTCATGGTATACGCTAGTTCACTGCATTCATGGCACTGCGGCCCGACGCTCGTTAAACCTTTCTAAAACTAAGGAAGTTATACCCAGCGAGTATAACGTAGCAGCCCTTTCTTGTCAGATAGTGCTCAATGTACATGCCAATGGCTGCTATTGGGGAATGAGAGAAAGGAGAATTCGGCTTTTAGTTATAGCGCACGCTGGGAATTTTTTATTGTTCAACAACGCACAGAAGAAATCTCTCACCAGCACCACCTTGGAGGTCAAAATATAAGACAAGTTACATACTACTACCATGACTACGAGGGACGAACGGATGCCGCTAAGATCAAAGTCCGAGCAAGCCGTTTCGCCGCGCCACTCGCACAGCCGGACCCGGGGCCACGTCACGCTGACATTGCCCCACCAGTCCCCTTCAAGGAAAAAGGAAGCAACTTGTAGCAGAGTCGTCGCGCCCTACCGCGAGTGGCCGCTGCCCCCTGGACTTGAGCCTCCCGCCCGGAGCCCCCCTCCCACCTCCATGCCAGGCATCGCAAGGTCCCCGGACGCCGTCTGCTGCCCCGGAAGCCTTCTGCCCTGGTGCCACCTGACGCTGAGCGGTCTCTGAGCCGCCCTGTGCACGAAAGTGCAGAGAAATCTGCACACTACCAAACCAACTAGTCAACCTCCCTAGTCCCGCCGGCTGAGCACCCGCGAGACCAGCGGACACGCTCCCTTCAGACGTGGCAAGCCCAAGCAACCGCCCGGTGAGGAAGAACTGTTTTCTGTTAACCGCCCCCGATGGGGACGTGTCTATTGACGACCCTATAGATGCAGTTGAAGAGACAGCCGGACCTGATAGTTTGTTAGTCTTGCAACACATGGGGGGCGCGAAGTTCCTTGTGTGTACCCGAAACGCGAGTCAGGCCACAAAGCTTATGGTCGCAGAGGGCTTCAGCGTTAACCGGGAGCACGTTACAGTAGAAGCGGTAGGACCCCCAGTTATGTTTGTTAACGTATACCACTTCCCAGCATATATGCCAGAGGAGGTCTTGATTAACACTCTTTCACAGTACGGCAAGATAAGAAGTGTTTCCTTGGCATCAGTTCCTAACCGACAAAACAAGCTTAATGGGGTTAGAGTAGTGCGCATGAAAATGAGTAGGCCACTTCCAAACTTCACAATCATCGCGGGGCACCGTGTCATGTGTGAATACCGCGGTATGCGCAGAGTGTGCGCAAGGTGTAACGAACCGGGGCACATGGCCACGGCGTGCGCAGCCACTTATTGCAAGAGATGTGGTGTATTTCGTCATGACACCGAAGGGCGTGTTGAGGAGTTTAAGAGATGCGGCGTGCGGCACGCCACACGCGAGTGTTTCTGCAAACGTTCATACCTCGCGGCAGCGCGCGGCCTTCCACCCGAGACGCGGCCAGTTACTGGTAACGACCACCCCAGGACCTCTCGCCCGCCTACCGGGACTGAGCCGACATCAGGGCTTCAGGTCCTAAGACCCCGGACTCGGCCCCACTCGACAACGAATGTCCCGGAACACTGGCAGTTGAAAGAACCCCGAGGGACGGAAGACGCCCGCACCGTATCAGCGAGCCCCGCTCCCTTGAACGCAGGCTCCGAAGCGGGGGACGACACGAGCAATACTAGTACAGATGGCGACCTGGACGAGTCAAGCGGCCATGAATCCGGCTCTCCGGAATCCACCCGCGACTCCTGGGATTTGTCGCAACCTGCAAGCGAGGAACAAGAAGTGCGAACACAGACGCCGAGGCCCGAGAACGACGAGCCTGCATTCTCTGGTTTTGACGAGATTAGTTTCCCACCACTTCCACCCCCGACAGCTCTCCCTTCCAATCCTGAGGAGGTGCCCATCGTAAGTTGGGGTCCTTGCCGGATACTGGCCACTTGAACATGAACCAGTGCACCTCCATCGAGATGCAAACTGCCGCGCAGCCCCGACCGGTAGACGCGAGCGTTCGAGATCAAGGTCCCCTTTGAGAGGCGAGGACAAGTCACCCAGCGTGCCGTCGAGCCTACCCGCAAACCTTGAAAACAAGCCTCGGTGCTCCAAAGCCCCGTCTGTTCCAGCGACAGCGATGCCCCTCTCATTGCGAAGTCGCAGAAATTGGACGCACTACCGACAGGGAAAGGGCACTTGCCCTGAAGCGCAAGCGAAAAAAGATAGGCTATTCGCCAAAGCATCCTCCCTTTCTTTCCTTCTCCGTGTTTGCTTCAAGGCGAACACAAGAGCGGGCGCCGCGACATGGCAACATGGTCCCCCCTCCCCCCTCCACCTCCTCGCGCATGCTCTGCTCTTTCTAACATGACGCCACACACCCCTCCCCCACGCTTGTTTCTGCTATCAGTGGTGGCCGCGCTGCCTACTCCCTTTCCCCCTCTTCTCCTTTCGCCAGCCGAAGCCACGGAAATGGTTTTTTGTTTATGCTTATCTGTTGCACAGCTGTCTGCTGCCCTTGCGACTAATCGGCACCACGGCTCCTATGACGCATCACTTAAACCTCGGAGGGCTTTTTAGCCACACTAGCAACCGCGGCGCCCGCGCCTTTACGCTCGGCTCCTTCGAGCATGCCGCCCCTGCCCTGGTGGTCGCCCCCCACTCGTTCCTTCACCCCAAGTTCTCTCCCCACGCCCACTAGAGCCGATCATGTCAACTCTAAAGTTCGCCACCTGGAACGTCCGCGGGTTTTGTGACAAATCGAAACAGCGAGCCATTCTGACCTTCGCCCAAGCACAGGGTATTGATCTGCTCTTTTTACAAGAGACTAACTTCCGGTCGCCGTTAAAGATCTCAACCTTCAGACGCGAGTTCCAGGTGGACGCCTTCTTCTCCCTAACTAAATCAAAAGCCTTTGGAGTGGGAGTGGTCTTTACTACGCGACGCTTCCGGCAAAGGGCGTTCTGAATCTTCGGTGCTGACGGCAGGTCGCTCATGTTGGACCTCTACATCAGTGAGAGAAGGATTCGGTTCATGAACGCGAACGCCCCGGCGACGCGGAAAAACACAAACACCTTCTTCCATCAGCTACACGACCTTCTTTCGAAACCCGTCCTGCACGTCCTGCTGGGGGACTTCAACTGCATCTTGGACTCGCAGTGCGACGTCAGGGGACCGGGACGAGGGGGGTCCACTTACTATGCTAGGGAGCTCGTGAAGACTGTTCGACACCTTCGGTTATCCGACGCGTGGCTGATCGCCCACGGCGACCTTTTTGTCGCAACTCGAGCCTCTCACCTCACAGCCAGTCGATTAGATCAGACGTATTTCCCCGACTTTCTCCTTTTCTCGCTCGTGGCATGCGAGGTCTTTTCCCCTCCGGCAGACCTAGCGAGTCGGTCAGATCACCTCCCCCTTGTCACTACGCTTAGCGGCTCTCCTGGACTCCGTACTGGTGACCATGGGTAGCGAGTAGACCCAGCGCTCCTGCAAGACGATGATGGCATCGAGCGCATTAGGGCGCGGCTGCGAGCCTCCGTGGCGAACGCCCCGAACCTAACCCCACGCTCGTGGGACACCATGAAAGTGGAGTGGAAGGGAATCCTTCAAGACGAAGGCAAGGCCAGGAAGCGCCGCATAACCGCTAAACTGAATGAGATCCTGCGCAGAATACGCATTATCAGGGGGGCGGAGACGATGACGACTTGCATGCGCCCCTATCTGAACACCCTGGAGGTCGAGTATGCCCGGCTGCTTCAACTGCGCACGCGCAGACCTCCTGGGGAGCGGGGCGCACCCATTAGCCACCTCGGAGCGCACCCCAGTGACACAACTGGGAATGGCAGCATACGAATTACCCGAGTGAAACGCCCGGATGATTCTTTGGCAACTGAACCAGAGAGAATCCGCGAAGTCTTCTGCGAGTACTTCTCGGCCCTTTTTCGGGACGCCGACAGCGACAGAGAAACTGGCGGAGAAGACAAGATTAGAGAGGTCTGCCAGCACCTCCCACGGCTGGGAGGAGAGGAGGTTGCGTTACTGAGCACGGAAGTGTCTGCAGAAGAGGTTAGGGGCATGATAACAAGCATGCCCCCGAACTCGGCCCCCGGCACTGACGGTCTCACAGCCAACTTTTGCGCCATTTTTTTTCGACGATCTAGAGGGAGTGCTTGTCGCCCGGCGAACATGGTGGTTATACAAAGCAACTGAAACCTGCATCCTTTGGAGAGGGGAGGATTGTCCTCCTACTGAAAAAGGGAGCCCCGCAGGAGGAGCTGTCGGCGTGGCGCCCCATAACCCTGTTGAACGTGGACTATGAAATGGTTGCTTCCATCCTTCATAGTCGCCTTACGCTCCTCTTGCCATCCATCGTCGCTCCCTGGCAGTCCTGTGTGGTTCCATGCCACTCGATCTTTGCCAATCTTACCGTAACAAGGGATGCCTTCGAATACATGTCTGCCAAGTCCCTGTCCGGAGCCTTTGTCTTCTTGGACTAGGCAAAAACGTTTGACAGGGTGCGCCATGGGTACATGATCGAGGTACTCCAACAGTTCGGGTTCCCGACATGCTTCGTAGACACCATCGCCATCCTGTACAACAACCTCACATGCCATGTAGTAGTAAACGGCACCCCGACGAGTAACTTCGTATACGAGAGAGGGATTCGCCAAGGGTGCCCGCTAGGGTCATCCCTCTTCGTACTCTCGCTTGAGCCATTGCTGGTGAACATCGTCCGCAACATGCACGTCAGAAGCTTTCCGCTAACGGGGGGAGCCCAACATTAAGGTCCTCGCTTACGCTGATGATGTATCCCTGCTCGTCAGGGACCCGGCAAGCCTGCAAGCTTTTTGGCGAACATTCGCACACTATGCTGACGTCTCATGCGCGGTCTTGAACATGAAGAAGAGCAAGGCCTTACCATTTGGAACATTCCCTCACGGTGCTCTGGGAGAGTTGAAAAGGGTCGACGCCGTCAAGGTGCTCGGCATATACTTTTGCTGCGGTGGCGTCACCGACCTAACCTGGCAACGAGCGCTCGAGCGGGCACAGGATGCAATAGCATGCCTCTAACCGAAGGATCTCACGCTCCGTGAGAGGGTCATAGCCGCAATGACAACCCTCTGCGCCTTTCCCTTTTATGTAAGCCAAATAGGAGTGATGCCTAGCAAGACTGCGACGCAATTGACAAGTATGATCGGTGTCTACCTGTGGGACGGCAAACCCGCGCCCTTACGTCGAACCCTCCTGCAACTCCCAGCTTCAGAGGGCGGCTTCGGGCTCACGCATGTCCTGACGGTGAGCAAAGTGCTTGCCTTGAAGACCACAAGGGCCTTGTTTCGCGCACCTGATTACGTGGGGAGGCTCTTAATGCGTTACTGGTGCAGTACAAACGCATCGTTCCTGAATGCCAACCGGCCGCTCGCCGAGACTCCCTCCGCGTTCTATAAGGCAGCCGAAAACACCATGCGCATGCTAGAAAAGGAGGCCCCTACGTGCGACGTAGATGAGACCCCGCCTGCTCGCATTGTGGAATAAATCGCCAGCAACCAGATGACTCACGAGGAGAGACGATGGTCACGAAACTGGAAGCGGAAAGGCAAAAGATATGGGCGTGCCATCCCTTCGTCCGCCCAAGACTTCACATGGAGGAAAAACTGGGACGTCCTCCCAACGCGCCAGCGCCTCCACAAGTTTTGCATCACGCCTACGCCCCACTGTCCCAATTATCACACGGATGAGACCCTGGCACATGCCTTATTTGAGTGCCCAGCGTTCAAACCGGTTTGGCGCCTTACTGTGAGGGATTTTAAAATCCGTCCTCCCCAGCCCTGAACAGAAACAAAGGCGCCTTTGCAAATTTAGTGGCCCTCTGCACCATATTCACGGTCTGGAAGCGCCGCTGTTTCGCTGAGGTTAGCCGCTCTTCAGTCAGAGCGGCCTTCCCGACCGTAGCTCGTATCCGCCACATGGTGTGGCGGCACCTCTCACACCAACTTGAAGCCAGCGGCGAGAAAAAGTTTCTCCGCCGCTGGCATACGAGGTTTTTTCTCCTGCAAAAAGGCAAGTTACGCCTGCCGATAACCTCTTTTAAGCGCACGCCAGCCACTGCGTCCCACTGTTTCCTGACCGGCAAACGAAAAGTGCCAATGCCCAACCCCTCCTGTCAATTGTATAATGATGTGTCGCAAATCTGTTCTCTGTACGGATTAACCCCTTAGTTCTCTGGAGCCCAAACAGCGGCGACCATTATCGCACCCTTTTTTCGCTTGTAAACGGAATTGGGCTGTTTTGCGTGCGGGTCGTAGAGCGCTCTTGTAACCTTTGTATAACTAGTGTTCGAATTATCGCGCTTCTGTTGTAGTACACTGTCTAAACGTGTTTTTGCTGTTCATCGGTGTGTTCACCGCGTGTGTTCGTGATAAGTGTCGGAGAAGAATTATGTATTTGATTACTTGTCAGAAGTGCAATAAACTTCCCTTTGTTTCACCCGTAAAAAGGTGTGTACCCTCTGACATGAATACTAGATGATGCTCTCGATTGCCTCTATGGTGCCCGCTATTTCTCCTCCATAGATCTAGGTTCTGGGTACTGGCAAATTGAAGTGTATGCCATGGATCAAAAAAGATGACATTTATTACTCCCGACGGCCTATATCAATTCAAGGTCATGCCTTTTGGCCTTTGTAACACGTTAGCCACGTTTGAACGGATGACGGACTCGCTGCTCAGATGCTTTAAATGGTCAACCTGTTTGTGCTATTTGGACGATGCCGTTGTTTTTTCACCTACATTTGAGAGTTATATAGAGCGCCTATTAGCCATTTTAGATATCTTTGTCGTGCTGGCCTCCCACTGAACTCATCCAAGTGTCACTACGGGCGCCACCTAATTACAGTTCTTGGCCATTCAGTGGACGCTAACAGCATACAACTCGACCCGGCAAAAATTTTCGTGTACCACGATCTTCAAAGGATGTACGCAGCTTCCTCGTACTGTGCTCCTATTTTCGTCGCTTCATCAAGACTTCTGGACATAGTGAGGCCTCTTACGCAGTTCCTCAAGTAAGACGTCCCCTTCTCATGGGGTTCAAAATAGGCATCTGCGTTCTAGAATCCTATCGTGCACCTACTCCTCCGATTTTAGCCCATTTCGACCCTACTGCTCTTGCTGAGATTCGTACTCACGCAAGTGGCCATGTAATTGGCCCAGTGTTAGCCCAACGACAACGTGGTCATGACTGCGTTATCGCATACGCCAGCCGCCTCTTATCTGTGCCAGAACGTAATTATTCTACCACAAAGCGTGGGTGTTTTGCTCTCGTCTGGGCGGTCGCCAAGTTCAGGCCATATCTATAGGGCTGCCCATTTTCGGTAGCTACCGACAACCACGTGCTCTGCTAGTTGAACTCTCTTAAATATCCCTCGAGGCGTCTTGGTCGCTGAGCTCTCCACCTGCTAGAATTTTTGTAGTCGGTCGTGTGCAAATCTGACCGCATGAGCCAGGATGCTGATTGCCTCTTCCGATACCCCGTGGACCTGCTGACCCCAACGTGAACACAGTGCACTCCATCTTTTCAGTGTCTGACTTCATTCGCACCGGAGAAGAACACAGAAAGGATCCACTCTTGCTCAACATCATCAGCCATATCACCTGCTCGACATTATCAGGCGCATGTGGTCTTTTCCAACCGACGCCTCCGTCCGTCCCTTTGTCTTTCAAGAGGGCATTCTATAACACCACAATTTTCGACCAAATGGGCCTAATCTTCCTAGTGTCGCACCCAAGCATTTACGGCGCAACGTCCTCACTGAACTTCACTATGCGCCCACAGCAAGACACCTTGGTGTATCTCGCACGCACGAGCCCTTACGGCGTCGTTTCTACTGGCCATGCCTTGCTCGCTCAGTAAGTCGATACGCCACGGCGTGTGATCTATGTCAACGTCACAAGACAGCATCACTGCTACCCACTCGCCATCTCCAACCAATTAGCATACCCACGAAATCATTTCACTGCGTTCGGTTAGACTTGCTTGGTCCTTTTTCCGAATCAACAGTAGCCAACAAGTGGATAGCCATGGCTAGTAATTACGCCACACGCTACGCTATTACTCGAGCTCTACCGACGAGTTGCGCGACCGACGTTGCCGACTTCCTGCTACGCGAAGTTCTATTGATTCATGATGCGCCAAAAGAGCTGCTCACAGACTATGGCTGTCCATTTCTCTCCCAAGTTGTCGCCGACATCCTGCGTTTCTCTTCTACGCAGCACAAAGTGAACACAGGTTACCACCCGCCAACCAACGGACTGGATTCTTGCCCTACCTTACGTGACGTTCGCGTGCAACTCGTCCCGACACGACACAGCCGGTTTTTCACCTTTCTACCTACTGGACGGAAGGGAGCCGACGTTACCGTTGGGCCCAATCATTTCCAACGCCTTCTCCACCAGCGAGTAGTCTCTTGACGCTATTGCACGAGCCGACCATGCTCGTCAGCTCACCCGTGCTCGTCTGACGGCGTCGCAGAGCAAGCAACGACATTGCTACGATGTTTCGCATCGCGACGCACATTTCACTCCGGGTACTCTTGTGTTACTCGGGTGTTCTGATTGTCAATGGGCCTAGCTGAAAAACTTTTGTGTCCTTAAACGGGACTTTACCGTGTTTTGCGGCTGGTAACACCTGTTACTTGTGATGTTGACCCCATCTATCCGTCGTCATCAGTTAAGGGGAGTGATGTTCACGTCTCACGGCTCAAGAGCTACAACTCTGCTTCTGTAGACGACCTATAAAGATCCGGGACGGTGCTTTAGAGGTCGGAGTGGCATAGCGATCCACACATTGAAGGGGAGAACGACAGCGGACAGGCTGGAGCCTGCAAATCTGTGTGGCTGGCGCTGCTCGCTGAACTGGCTGTACATACATCTGCGTCTACTCTTTCAAGACGGTCGCCTTCTTGTAACTTATTATTGGTTATATACAAGTGCCGCTACCTAGCGGACACTCCAAGAGCTAAACTCTCCTGTGGCACATGCCCGACAGAGGTGGTTACTACCTGGGATGTTCGGGTGACACCTTAAGAAGCTTCACCTCTAAAAATTGAAGCCCCACCCTACTGCGAAATGTACCAGCCTCATTTTTTGCAGTCCTGAATTATTGAATATCATTGTCATGTGTCTTTCAGCAATTCTGGCGAAGGAGCACGAGCATGTCAGCTTTCTTTCCTTTCAGTCAACTGCTCCTGTTTCCCACACTCCTGGAACGAAGCTTATACTAGAGTGAATTCAGATAGTTGAATTCACACCAACAGTAGTGTCATGAAACTTACTATGGATAGCGCAATGAATAATTCAACAATACAAAACGATTGATAGTATCGAAAGTGCTATCGACACTTCTGCATCGCTGCCTCTTATTGTATAGCGCGGAGACGTTCAAGCAGCTTGAATAGCCCGAGCCACCAAGTATGATTGCGGAAGTTTTTCACCAAGTCTATGTCGACGTATTGGTGTTCAGACTCCTTCGTGGTCACCTAGCTGTGACTGAGTTGATGCTCAGACGGGCGCGTTGTGTAGCATCCTCAACGCGTTGAAGGCAGACAGTGTCGTCGACAGTTTCTTCTTCGATAATGTTGGCGGCATGGAGTCAAAGGTTGTCACCGGGCTCCTCCCATTGACGGATTGTACCGCATCATCGGCGTCATACCTTGCACAACAAAGTCGTGTACATAGCTCATGTACGGGAAGATGGCATCCCACGTCTTTTGTTCGACGTCGACAACAATAGCCAACATGTAGGCGATGACCTTATTTAGACATTCGGTGGCGCCACAGGTATGCGGGTGCTTGGCGCTGCATCAAGGGTGACTTCTTTGCTACGAAGGTCCATTTTTTCCGTACCTCGACGTTTCAAATGGCCTCAGTAGGTCGATGCGAATTTTCTTGAATGGTTTGCAAGGTGGTTTGATCGGCTAAAGAAGGCCTGCTGGTCTTGTTCATATCTTCTTTCTCTAACCGTCTAAACA